CCGCGCATTCTCGTCACTCTAGCCTGGATGTCAGAAAGTCCCTCGCATTCGATAGAGAAGCTGAAGAAGCGCACAGCCGCAACGCCTCGCGCTCGCGACGGAACAGCGCCGACTCGAAGAAAGCTCCTTCGTCAGAGGCCCAGGACTCCGATAAGGCGAAGCCCTCGGTCAACTTTCTCGGAATCCGGCGAAACCGCTCCATCGACTCTAATAAGGGAAAGAGAACGAGCGTGGCCCTGTCTGACAATGACCCCACGGATCGAATCGAAGGCGAGATGAACCTGTTTGCGCCAACAGATAACCAGTCGGAGCGCGGTTCCGTCCGCGCCCCGTCGATTGAACCGTCCAGCGAGGAAGACTCCGACGATGACCTGGTCGAGGAGACGCCACGACCTCTGCGACGAGACCCCTTGTCCATGCCGACACCAAGGATTACGGGCGCATACATCGAGACGCCTGCTCCGGTAAAAATGGAAGAGAAGGAGACGGAAAAGGTTTCGGACCTCCTCAAAGAAATCCCCCAAGTCACAGGCAACCAAGACAGAGCCCCTTCCCATCAAAAGTCCTCCGCTTCTTCATCAGAGGCATCCAGGTCCAGATCCAGGTCGAAGTCTTCTGGAAGTGTCCACGACGCGCAGGAACAGGCGCCCAACTACCCAACGTCGACGACCTCAACAATTCGTCAGAGAGCTCGGTCGCTGCCTAAGAATCGCCGCCCGCTGATAAACTCAGTGAAGCCCCCGACGGTCAAGGACGATCTGCGCGATATCCAGCGCACATACTCTCTTGAGGACTCAACACTTGACGATTTCGAAGAACTCTTCAAACTTGGCAGGCTTGATAACGCACCCTCTCCCGAGATTGAATCCATCCTCAACGAGCTGTCAAGTCAGCGTGAGGAGCTTGCCAACAAACCAGTCATCAACGAGGCGGATCACAGCGAGCTGGAGCGCTACGACCGAATCACCAAGTCCCTCAAGAACGGGCTCCAGAACATCCATGCCGCCAAGCAAGGCATCGAACGTTTGGAGGACAATCTCGCCCACACTGACGTCCTCGATACCAAGAAGGAAGAGCCTGAAGTGGACATCAAACCGTCTGCCCTGGCCTTGCCAGACTTCAAGGAGGAACGCTCGGGGGACAAGCCGTCTGACAAGCTGTCCACCAAGGTCGTTCACAGTCATAAGCACTTGGACCACAGCGACACGTGCCCTGACTGTCTCTCCCATCCTATTCCTCGTGCCACAGTCTCCTACGTCCACCTTCCCTTACCCCGCCTCTACCAAACCAACCCTTTCCGCCTCAGCCTCCTTGGCCTTCTTGTCACTCTCTTTTCGGTCTGGTATGCCGCCGAAACAGCAACGTGCGCTCGTTACTGCCGTCCTGAGTTCTGCTCGACTACACCTTGCATCTACGACGTCAACGACCCAACTTGGGGTACCGCCATTCCAGTCAAGCTCGACGCCGCCCTCACGAACGGCCGCGGCCGCCAGCTTTACGCCCACCTTGCCGAGGAGGTTTCCGACGCATATCTCGACGCGTGGGACTGGATCAACGGTGTCGACATTCGCCATGTCAAGATGACATCGCTCGACGCCTACGCGAGGATACAGCACAGACGCCGTCTGCACAAGCGCGGTCTTCTCAAAGCGTCCGTCGTGTCGCCGCAGCTGGAGGCCAAGTTTAGCATGTGGCATCAGACGCGGCTGGCTCTGGAGCGGGAGCGCGAGATGAGCGAGGCGGGCTATGTCGAGGAAGAGGAGATGGTCGGGGACGATGAGAGGCTTTACTAGCCTGGGCGGACGAGCGGAATCACTCATCACCTTTTTCTTCTTGCACACTACATTCTTGCCAGCGTTTGGCATGTCGAAGCATGTATGCTTTTTTTTCCCTTTCTCTTCCCTGTACATTCTTCTCGTTTTACCCGCTGAAGGGCTCCAACATGACGACTTTTCATTTCCTTGACACGGGTGGCATGGCGAGCCGCCCCGGTTGAAGCTGGGGCAGAAGGCTCAGTCTCGAGATGGACGGGACGAGTGCTGTGGAGCATCCAAAATTCTCATCGCATTGCGAAGCAGGCGTGGCGTTTACTTGTTTGATAAGGGACAGATCATGGCTGGGGTGAGATCTGCACTGGGAATGAGGTAGATAAACTAATTGAATTCGACTGCTCGTTGCTTGCATATGGTCATCAATCGTAAAGTATTTAGGCTGCCACGGTACATGAAGCCGGCTTTGACGCCCCTTGTGTGTACTGGAGACTCTTCGCCGTCATGATCGGCCCCAGATGCTCACTTCCCCCGTGGTCGCGGACTTCCAGCCTCGGCCGACGCCAGCGTTATATCATCCCCAATCGGTATGCCCATCGCTTCCCCGATCTGCGTAAACAAGGCTTCTTCGTTCGCATCAACCCCTTCAGACCCCTGCATCGGCTCGTTCACGGGCGATGGGACCGGAGGAACGTGCCGTGGCGGGGGCAGAGCAGGCGGCGCCGCACCGTCGTTCAGAACGGGCGCTATGCTCATCGCCTCGGGCCGGTCGTCTGGCGGCGGACCGTCGCCGGGACTAGGCAGCTGTGGGAGGAGCGAGAATTCGTTCGGCTCAAGGTAGCGCAAGTGATCGTCGAGGGAAAGGAATGAATCGCTGTCACTCGAGCCGTCGGAAGACAGGTACGATCCAAACAGGTTTGTGTCGGTGGGCGCATCGCTGGGCGCATCCGTCATTGTCCGGGCGATTCGGTTGTCGCTTGCTGCAATGGGTATGTTAGCCTTCATGGAAATGTGCTTGCTCACACTCTCTAGCCGCGAATGTGGATGGTCTATCTCCGCTTTAGGAACTTACCTTGGGGTGTGTCACCCGACAGAGGTAAATACATGCTCCGCGCTGCGGAGTACCTGGTTGAGAGATCGGCTACGTTTCGGGTTGGTGCTGAGCTCTCAGGCACAAGCTCCCCAGACGACCCGGTATTTATTTCGCCAGGCGGTCTGCGCTGCTCCTCCAGGCGGGTGTTCGCCTCTCTTGCTCCAGAATCGTGAGGCTCAACTCTGCGCTTCCCTGATTCATCAACGTAGCCGTGGTGCTGCTCAGAAGAAGGGGCTGAGGCCTTCGCTTCCTCCAGGCCTTCTCGGCCATGGTCGAGACACAGGCCATTGGCGTCATTCATATCAACCTTTCCCCTTACACACGTAGGCATAGCGCAGCAGTGTGTCAGACAGTATCCACCAACGTGTCGGGCGACAGGTGCGAAGCATTCTCGAACCAAGCACTTGTGGTAGATGCAGAATGGGCTTTTCAGAGTCTGGATACCACAGCCCTCTTTGGCGCAGATAACTATTGGCCGTGAATCATGCCACACTGTTGTTTGGCTGGGCGAGACCAGCGTCTCGGTCCCTAACTCAGGGAAGCATCCTTGCTCAGGGTCGTAAGGCTGCCCACGTCGTACTGATGGGGGTGTTTCTAGCTTTCTTATGCCTCTGCCATAGCCTTCGAAAGGAGAAAATGTAAACTCATCCTCCCGGGAGGGGAACACTGCAGGGGGAATTATTGCATCAGGCCTCTCGCCTTGATTGAAGCCTTCAATGCTGCCGGCTGAGTCTCTGCGGCCTCCGGTCTTGGTACGAACGAACTTCCACCCGTGGGCCTTTTCCATATGTTGCTTGCAGTTCGACTCGCGTTTGGATTTGTAGGGGCAGGGTGGGAATTGACACTGGAAGATGGGAGGCGCCGAGTTATGCTTGTCCTTAACGTGGCGGCTCAGTTCCTCCTCCGTGGCCCAGCCGTACTTGTGATACTTGCAGGTTGTTTCAGGGCACTTCCAAGGACGGGGTTGGGTTTCCTTAACAGGCGCATCCGCGGTCCGCGATGGTTCACTCTCCTCATCGCCAAGCGCGCGATGTAAATGGCCTCGGAGATCCTTCCGGCCATCGATTTCGTCCCCCACAAGGGAGCGTTCGTAGTTTTCATAAGACCATTGAAACGGGCTTCCAAGAAACGGGTCTCCACCAGCTGCGGCCATCGCGTGAACCTTTTGATCATGTATAACGAGGTCCTCGTGTGAAGAGAAGCGTAACTCCTCGCAACCCGAGATGCCCCACGCAAAGGGCTTCGCGTGAAAAGCAAGATACTTGCTGATGGTGCGAATGCGGATTAATACTGAGGAAAGCTTTGCAAGAAGAAATCTGACTCACTTGTAATTCTCCTGGTACAAGGTTGGCTTGTGATTGCATGACCCCTGACCTTCCCAAGGGCAGTGCAATAAGTCCACGGGGTCGAAAGTAGCATTTCTGTAGAGAGGGTTGTCTTTGGTGATTTCCTCTTCATGCCATGTTTCCCCGGCGGAAAGAAGCTTTGTGACAATGTCAGTGACCTGCTTTGACTGGGTTGGAGAGTCCCTAGAAAGTCTGGGGTAAGCCTCAGTTTGTTCCGAATTATCGTCCTTGTGTTGGGGGTGCTGATTCTGTGCGTTGATCAAGTCTGTCGTGGGTAGGGGAGGTGGCAACATGCGCCGTTGCTCCAGATCTTGACTCAACAGGCGGGTCTCTTCAATGAGCAGATTACCATCGTCACTATGCGATGCCCGAATGTGCCTGAGGAGCTCACGCCGTGTCTTGAACCCATCTGCTCCCTGGCGATGTACACACAATCGGCAAGAGAAACTTGTGTTCCCTGTTGCGGCTTGAGTTTGGCGCGATCCCTCAGGCGCCCCCATCAACGGCGTTTCTCTCCCAAGTTGCTGTTTATGAGAACTTCGAGGTCTTTGATTCAATGCTTCTGTTCCGGTGTGTCCATCAATTGTGCTAGAGCCACCTGTTCCGTGAGCAGTGGGAGGTTCTTGTCCAAAGGCTTGCGGCAAGAATGCATCGTCCGACTTGAATTCTTCGTTTGCGAGCTTCTCTGCAGTAAATCGATCTTGAGTTTTCGATATCGATGCAACAGCTTCCAATGTTTCTCTGGCCTTGCCGCGAATGTCTATAGTGACGATCCAGTCTTCCAAGGCCAGTTTGAGTTGCGCGCCTTCGTCAGCATCGTGCGCCTGAGCTTGCAATCCCGTCTTAGAAGCACCTTGCCTAAAGTGAAATTGATGGAGGTGGTTGACGGCTCCGCTGAACCATCGCCATTTCCTACCATTTCGGCAATCTATACAGGTTGCCAAAGGTACAATAGGCTCGACGGTGGTTTGGATGCCGACACTGGCTGGGTCGCGACAAACAAATCTCAAGAACCGCCTTGAGTGGTGAGTCTCAGGAAGATCGTGCCGGCTAACCATGCTCTCATCTTCTTCGTCAAATGGAGTTGACTTATCCCCTTTTTCAGCATTGTCAGGGCTTCGTCTTCTCGTGATATCTTGGACTTGACCGAAGGACTCTCCAAGGTTTTCCAAAGTACTGTCTTTATGCACTGTACTTCTTTTGGTCGGAGGTTCAGCAGCTGAGTCGCTGTCAGTAGACTCCTCTCCTGCATGGGACGAGTCCTCCTCAGACTCGGCCATGGGGGGAAGAGCTGCCAGAGATATCTCTTCTAAGTGTGCGGCCAGATGAGCGATGACTTTTAGCTTGTCCTCTGGCATCTTCTCGTGACAGAGGGGGCAGTTAATGGACTCCGTGGATACCTCAAAGTCGTGGTGTTGAGCAAGGTGATGCACCCATTCCCGGCGATTGGGAAAAGGCTTATCTCCATACGCACAAGAAATGTCATGGCAGACCCAGGGTTTCAGATCCAGGTAGAGGTGCTTCCTGTATCATGATAAGCATTGAATTTGCAGATGTTTCCCGGCACAAGGTGGGAGCATACTTCCAAGCAGAGTTGCTCCTAATAGAGACCGTCCGGTTACAGGCCATGCACTGGAAGAAAACGCCGAGTTTCGCTCCGGCTGGCAGAGGGGGAATGCGGACTGAATGACTTTCGTTCTGGCGATATGACATTGTCGTTTCGGCATAAGCGCTCGCCGTCCGGACCGAGGAGCCTAAGCCTGAATCATTGAACTTTGTACTGCCTTCTGTGCGACTGACTTGGTCAACTTCGACAACACTGGAGACCGCACATTGTTCAGGCTCCTGCTCAGTCAAGACATTCCGCCGTCGCTCGATCTGTGTCCTTTGAAATCGGTTAAGGTTAGCCCGTGCGAGCCTGTCCACGAGCTCGCCATGTGCCTGAGGGAACCGATACGCAATCCGATCTGAGTACAGCTGGTGTGGGCTCCAGGATATCTCAACCGATGGACTGTCGTGCTCCTCTGGTTGAATTTGATCTGCTGCAGGCGCCTTAATGAGGGGGTCAAGGTCAAGGAGGCAACGGACCGCGTTGGCAATGTCTTCCGTTGTATCTTCGAGCCCATTCATTTCCTCCCCAGATGAAAAACAACTGCTGCTACTGCTGGTGCTGTCATCTTTTGCATCGGGCGAGGCCCGATTGCGACGGCGTCGATCCTCCGACAATGCCGCTGAGGCGTCCGCAGTAGTAGCTCTCAGAGATGATACGTCTACGGAAGCATCGTCTCCCAATTCGAGCCTTGGTATGAGTTCTGCTCTTGGTCAGTAGAGCCAGATCAACAGGCCGACTGTCCACCACATACCCTCTGAAACAGCCTTGCCAATGCTCACCAACAACTCATAGATCGATCGTCGCAGCGACCGTGACTTGGCAAGGGCATCGTCGAGCTCGCCCTCGCGGACACCATACCCTGCCGCCCATAGTGTAAGAGAACCACAGCTCTTGTCCAGACGATGGGACAGAGAGCGCGGAAGGTCCTTGCGAGATTTAACCCGTCGGAGGACGCTCCTGAATGCTCTTACCACCTCGATGCAAAGCCGGCTCGTCACGCTCTTGCAATCTGAGAAGGCGGTGCTGATGTCCCATTCGTCGACGCGCGAGAGGTCAAGGTTCTCCTTCTGTCGTGCCAGAGGTTTGGCATGTCGTGTTTTCGCCTCATGCGGAGGCATGTTTCTCGTCTGAAGTGCCGCCGCCGAACGAAATTCTGTGGTTGGGAAGTGCTAAGATCTGAGTAGACATCGCGAGGCTGCCGAAGCGACCTTCAGAGTGCCTGGAAGGAGAAGCGCCCAACCGTCAGCGACCTTGAGGCAGTGCCGCGATTGATGCTGGCAAATTACAGGTCATCTCTCGATGCAGAACGGATGACCTGCAGCTGTACGCGCAACCAGCCCGAGCAGGGGTGATTCGGGCTGTGTGCTGCACTGCTGCGCAGGGGCTGTGAATGAGGGCCTCCTACAGGGGCTGGCTAGGCACAGCCTTGACAGCCCCGGAGAAGATCAAATTCGCGGTCTACCCATACCAGCTCTCTCGTGTTATCTTTGATCCCTTCAAGCTGTCGCGATCGCAGAAAAGGCTGACTGAATCAACTGGTTAGAAGTGCGACAGTATGCTCGAACTGGCAATCGGCATTGTACCACTCGTGGGCCTCGTCATCACTTCATACAAGGCTGTCGCGAGAAACCTGAAGACGTATCGACATTATTCGAAAAAGCTCAAACGATTTCAGGTCGCGCTTTCAGTTCAATGCAGTGTCTTTGAGAACGAGTGCCACTTGTTGCTCCGACTCGTCCTGCCAAATGATGATGCGATTGACGAGATGATAGCCGATCCTGACCACGAAAGATGGGCTGATCCTGGCCTCGACGACGCGATCGCCCAATGGTTGGGCAAAAGTCTGGAAGCATACAAAGGAAGCGTGGAAGCATCTCATGAGGCGCTGTGCGAGCTCGAAGAGCAGCTGCGAGGCTTTAACGTAGTCCATGGGCTACAGCAGAAGGTCAGTTTGTGGCATGGCCCTCTCCTGTACCTCACCATCTAAAAGTCGTCCCACAGGGAGAACGGATGAAAGATACGCTCCGGAGACTCCGTAGGGTCCAAGACGGTGTCAAAGTGGTGATCAATGAGAAAAATTACATTTCAGCCCTCGACGAGTTGAAGCAATCCACAGAGGGCCTCACAGCTCTGAGGGAGCAGATCGCTGAGCTCGACAAACTCAAGACAGCTGTCCAGATCAAAACCAAGCGTCCTCCGGCAGGTGAATGGGCGAGACTATTAAGGATACGGCGAGCCTCAAAAGCTCTCCACGATGCACTGGCTGGGGCCTGGAACTGCAGCCAGGAGGGGCATATGAGGCATCTCGTCAAACTTTTCATCGAGACAGACCTGGTCGATGACGAAATTCAGATGGACATCGCTATTGTCTGCCACACGCAAGTCAGGAATACACTATACGCGACATTGGTCGAGCTCGAGGTACGCTCCCAAAACCTCGAATGGATCGAATCGCCCCAAATCCCGGCCATGATGCCCCCCGCTGATGGCGAAATACAACGACCCTCAAAACGACTTAAAACCGTCAAGGTCACCGAGACAACTGTCACTTCATCGTCTCCTTGCCTTGGGTCAGCCAAAGGAGCTTTTCGTCGGTCTAAGAAAGCCACCTGTCGAAGCTCATGTGATCTCCGTGCCTCCAAAGACGTCTGCATGGAGTTGACCAGCAAATCGCCGCCTGCATCAGGCCAAGACTCTTCGGCATGCCTCGGTCATCTTGATATCGAGTCAGAGGCGGGGTACCGCCATTCGTTTTACCCAGGATTTCAGCAGTCCATCTGTAGGAAAGCGAATCGGGACCCAGTCCCGATAAGTCAGGTATTTGAACCAACGGCCGCTAAGTATGTGACCATGTTGGATCGCCTCAAGCTTGCCCGGTCCCTTGTCTCAGCTGTCCTCAAGTTTCACTCAACTCCGTGGCTGCGCGACATGTGGCAATTGCAAGATCTCTCCATCTTTCCGACTGATAACGATGATCTGACAAGGTCGTTGAACACACTCCATGTCGGTGTGGGGTTCGCTCGGAGACACGCCCAGCGACAAGCACCTGAGTCGATGGAAGGCGTGCTATGTCCGGAAGACCTGGCCTCAGGCCAAATGGGAGAGCACGAGGAGTCTCTCTGCAGTATCGACAACAAGGCACTGTTCAGCCTTGGTGTCGCCTTGCTGCAGATCGATCGTTGGGTAAGACTAAACGTTGAGACGCCAGACGATGTCGTCGAGATCCGCAAACTGTCCAGGAGGCGCTTTGCTTTGGGCCCACAATACGGCAAAATCACCCAGAAGTGTTTGCGGTGTGATTTTGGACACGGTGACGATCTTTCAAAACCGCGGCTGCAAGAGGCAGTTTATGGGAGCCTGGTCGGCGTTTTGGAGAAGATGATCTCGTCCTTGGACCTGAATGACGATGAAGATGAATCATGATGTTTTTGTGTATTGATGCCACTCTTTATTTCAAAGACTCTAAATTCAACTTTGAACCGTGAATGACTCCCCTCCGCGATTGTCTGATACCTGCTCATAAGCGAGGTTTCCAGTGTCCCCAACTTAATCTGCCGCTCTTCTTGACCACGAACCACATCTTTCACCAATGGATCGTGAGACTCGGAAGGCTTAGGCGCCGGGCACAGATTGCTCTCGGTGCAATGGATATTTCAGACTCATATTTCATAAAGTGGTTCACAACTTTGGTTCGCCTGTGATGGTCCAGCGACAGCGTGTCATTGCAGGTGCGAACTCGAGCTTTCAACCGGCCAGGCTATTCGCACCGCATCGCGGAGGGTACGCACCCCGCTCGGTACCGACTGCAAGCTCCATTGTCAAAGTGCAGTTACGCTAACGGTGAAATGGACGTAGTATTTGCGGCCAAAACAAAGTCTTTCCCAACGAGACATTTGGTAGGCTTCCGACGCCATCGTCCCATCCCTTTGAGGCCATCGACTGGGCCTGAACCCTGAATGATTCTTCCAGTGAGCGGGCTGGCTCAGACTTGACGACATAGACGCGATGTCACGATAATTTGGAGGCGTCTAATGGCATCCACGGTCGATTTATCTCTCCCATCTAGTACTTGACGAACCGGAAGCTTCCTTTATGTTATTGTTACCTTTTCTGTGTAGCATTACGCTGCTTAAAGACCCTGGGCAAGATGCGGCTGAAGCGTCCATGGTAGGCTGAGGGTCCAACCTTACAAATAGCCGCTGTCCGGTCCGGTGGTCAACATTCGGCTGCAACACATGATGCTCTCGTGGGTTTGTTGCCAGAATGGGACCTGTCCGCTTCGGAAGCAAGCTAGTCTCCCGAAAGTAGTTGCTCAGGGCGGAGGAAGCTCTGGCACAGCCGTGCCTAGAAACGAAAGATATCGCTACCTGACTGAATTTTTAATGGTAGCGTGAGGGGATCGTGAGTGCCACAGTCTGGATAATGGCAAATTTCAATCTAAATGGCTCCTGTCTTTGATCTCTTCCCTGCTATCTCTATCAAACTCTCTTGGCAACTAAAGAAGCGCCAACGTTTGGGGTCTCGATCAAGTGAGAGAGATCATGCCAACGGCACATTGGGATATGAAGCCTGAGGACGAAGCTATATAAACCGAGGAACCTGCTCTATCTTTCTTAATGGTGTTCAGGCTTCCAGGCTCTCGCCCTTTCAGAGTCAAGCATCCGCCATGCGTGTTTTCTCGCTGGCCCTGCTCGGCCTTGCGGCCTTTGGCAGTGCCGCGCCGACTCGGGTTGAGCCCCAGGCGGTGGAGGCCAGGCAATATGGACTCGGCCCTCCGACGGTGACGTTGGTTCCCGGCAAACCATCCCTTCCAGTATTCTGGCCGGCGCCTTCGACACCTACCACCATCCTTAAGCCGGGCAAGAGAGAAGAGTCTGCCCTGATCAACGACGTCCCCGAAAGGCGCACCGAGGATATCGAGCTCAAGGCTCTTCATGATGCCTACTACGTGCTCCTGAAGCCCTACGACAAGAACAATCACCCTTCCTTCGGCGTATACCTCATCCTTCTCCATCTTGCCGACATTCTCTCCTCGAAGGGCATCACCGTTGATACATTCATCCTAGGCGAAGCCAAGACCACCTTTGGCATCTCAACAAAGCGGCAGGTCTTCACAATCGGTGGATGCCGCCCTCAGGATGTTATCGGTTTGCGAGCCACCCTGACAAGCCTGCTCATCATCTACGGCCCTCACCCCCCATACGAGATCTGGAACCTCGAGCAAGCCATCATCGCCGCCCTCATTGCCTGCGGCGAGAAGGTTGAAGCTGGGCCCATCGTTCCCGAGGTACCCATCCCAGGTGGCCCGATCAAACCTGAAGTTCCGGTGCCCGGTGGTCCTATTGTACCCGAGAATCCTGTACCTGGCGGGCCTCTTGTTCCTGAGCAGCCGGTGCCTGGTGGTCCCATCAAGCCCAGTGACTGAGCAGGATCAGAGGGGCTGGAGTAAAGAGAGAGAGGGAGAGATGTTGTTGACAGACTGGGGGGAAAGTGGACAAGGTTTCCTTTGTGTTCGACTTTTTTTTCTTTCTTTCATTTGGTTTCCTTTCATACTCAAAATCAAAAGGCTTGATTGACTTGTGAACTGAGGCCCTTTCCTCGTGATGACCTGCAACCTTGATGCCTACGGCCTCCTTAGCCCGGTCAACCGTTGAGGTTTTGTCCATGGTCTGTGACTAACGTGGTCAGCCATATGCATGTTCTCGAGCGCCCTGACGTCCTTGGGTGATACTTCTTTTTATACTTCTTTTCTCTTGTACTGTAGGTCATCTCAATTAATACACTTTGACTTCTCGTGTCCGGACGACGAGGACCCGTATTGAATTTCTGCCACCACAATTCGGATTTGGGTCATACAATTCCAAGGTTTCTCAGCCGGAAGCCACTGGTCAACGGTGAACTTTGGCAGAGTCATCCTCCAAAGCTTTCAGAGGGGCACCAAGTCCCAAGGCATCAAACCACCACGCGAGCCGTCTTCCAGTCCGAGCATCGACTCACTTTCTGATGATCACCGTCGGCCGGTCTTCTTCAAGCCTCGCTGCACGGACAGCCCCCTAACAACTTGATGCAATCCATCAACTCGCCGAGGGAGCAGCCGGTTCTCGACGCTTGCAGACTCTGGGATGCGTCCAAGTGGCAGACCAGATCGAACAAACTCAGAGTATGACAAATCGTCAACAATTCCAAGGCAAGTTACCCCAACAAGGGCCATGTCCCTCAGTCCAGCCCTTCCAAAAGACCATAGACTGGCTTACCACGACCCCATCACCGTGACAGACTGGCCTCGTGTCTCGGGATTCGGGAAAGGGATCAAATGGCCAGCCACGGCGGCCACCCTGTCACCGAGCCATCAAGTCCGTCGAAGCCACAGGTCGGAAGCACCCGCAGCCATAGCGCCTCCCCCGGATTCTCAGAGTTTGCGTGGCGCAAGTTTCCAAAGCACCCACCATCATGACGCCGGTCGTCGGTCGGGGGTGGGCATATCGCTCGGCCACGAGTCATCGCGAACTCAATCTTCACTCACGGGCCCTCCTCCAGCGCGAGCGCCAAGGTGAGTTTCGTGCGCCTCGACCAAACCTTCGCAAGGTGTCAGGGCCGACGGCGGTTGGTGAGCACGATTGCCCCCCTATTCGGCCTTCGATGGTGACATTTCGTGACGGTCATGGCTGCTGCAGATGCTCAAACAAGCTTTGGCGCGTGCTCGTTCTTTTCCCTTGCACATCGGCAACTCAAATCACATTGATGACTAGGTTTTACCGGGATCTCACGTTTCCCGAAAAATCGAGACAGTCATCAAAACCATCGGGGCCCTCCGACACGAGATCTATCCGGCGCCGAAGAACAGGCATGCGAGACCAACAACTAGCCTGGGACCATCAGCCGCTCCCCCGAAACCGTGCGGCCACGCGTAAGACGCGTCTGCTGGTGGAGTAGTACGCCGAGGCAGCGAGAGCCCGCTGGGCGATGCAAACTAGCAGAGGCGCGCCGTCAGGGCCAGGCGTCCAGAGTTATCCCCGTCCGCCATGGCCGGCCAGCCGAGAAGGGTCTGACGGCACGGCCAAGTGGGCGCCAGCGGCGTCAGGCTTGGGACCGTCATGGCCACCGTCTTGAACTCAAGGAGAATAGACCGACGATCCTCGGCCTCTCTCTCCTGAGAATCCCTCACAACTAGGAGTTATTCGTGGCAAGCGTCCAGCCAATTCAGGTCAGAGAGGCACCATACAGGGTGTGGCTGGGACACGGCCGCTCAGATACATGTAGATGTCAGAGGCTGACGGCCTCAGCGGATAGACAGCAACCCGAAACTCTGGCTGTGTGGGGCTCGGAAACCGTCTATCTGGACAGATGCCTTGACGCCAAAGTTGCTTCGAGAAACAGAAAGACTGACGTCGTAGACGGCTTCTCCCCGGACGAGGTGGCGGCATCGGCTCAGCACACACAGTCCAATGTCACGCCACAGCCTGATTCCTTGATCAACTTGACTGTCATCAGCCGCCAGCGCGTGACGATGAAAATGCAAAAGGCAGGCCCAAACATGAAGTTGATCTCAAAAGATGGTCGCCATGTCAGAAGAACGCTAGTCAGCCCATGGCTTTCTCTGAATCAATGGCGGTTGGCACTACTGCAAGCCGTGGGAGCAGGCCAGTAGCGCGCTCGTCACACCACTCGGCGCACGAGTAACAGAGAGGGTGGAGGAGGCTCGGTTTGCAAGCATCAAGTGATGCAGAGGAGGGGCCCTTTCGCTGCTGCGGCCAGGGGAGCTTACCCGCGCGACCTCGAGCGACTGTGATCGCTGGACGAGATAGCGCGGCGCCCGCAGACGACAGCCACCCTGACGTGGCAGCACTCATGGACATGACACTACAGTACCTCCTGGCCCTCAGCTCGAAGCCACTAGTGACGACTGGTGGAGGGTTTGGCACGGCGGGCAGTGGTTCAAACGGCATGCGGCATCCTGGGGGAAGATGCTTCGCCCGGATGCGCCTGAGCGCCGGTGCTTTCACGGAGTGGCAAATCTTGCCTGCCGACTCCGGGTTGACTGAGCATTGTCGGCAGATCGGGATGTTGGATGTCCATCGTCATCTCGGGCCAGCCACATCACCTGTCGAGCCGTTTCCCGACCAGGGTCGCCAAATCGTAGGGCCACAGAGGACGTCCCAGAGATCAAGTCTACGAGGTCCGTGGTCAGCTAAGTTTTCCAAGTCGTGGCTCGGACAGTGGAACTTTTTCTCTCAACAGCACGGTCAGCAAGTCCAGGCCCACGGAGCGGTTGGCGATCTGGTCCAGCGAGCGGCGCGGCATATCACTAGCTCTTGGATCTCGCAATACAGAACTTATTGAAGACCACCAGAATCGCAGATCGCACGACTTGGCAGGCTCGAGAGCGGGTTTCTGCTGTCAAGGCGAGGACGCGAGACGGGGACCAAGCAGGCCAACCCCTGAGGACGCCCTGAGGACGCCCTGAGGGACGTCACTGCCGTTCAGCAGCCCATCAAGACGGCAAGCAGGCAAGGATAGTCACTGCGAGGACGACTTTGGAGTCATGTTTTGCTGACTCTGGTCTAAAAACTCCGCGCCATATGAGCTTGGTAAGGAGATCTCGGTCGGCAAGTAGTGGCATCTCAGCCTCCACGTGGATGGTGGTTGGTGAGCTTTTTCGACGAGTCCCGAATCAACTGCCGGAAGATCGTGATGACCCCATGTGTCTGCAAGCCCGGGAGCGCCATCCAGGCTGGGTATCAGACAACTTGAATTGCTGCAAGCATCCAGAGGCATCGAGCAAGTCGCATGGCCGTTCAGTATCCTCATCAAGCAAGGCAAGGGATGGAGAAGTGAGCAGATCGTTGGAGACGCCCGTCAACTTTCGGCAGCAGGCAACACGAAAGGGCCCTTCCAGACCACCAAGGCGCCTCCACCCAGCACCTCACAAAGAGCCAGTCGTGGGTAGAGGTTGCACGGTCGAGAAGGGCGCTACAAGGTTAGACTGGACGGGGTTGCACTCACACCGCCAGCCGGTTGCGTCTGTTGGCTTTCTTGGGTCTTAGATTCTTAGGTGGACGCACCACTTGAGCAAGGCATCACCCAATGATCGCCGTAGGACGCACTAGACAGTTGAGAGGGGGCGTTGAATCGTCAAGGTGGGCTTCTAGCAAGAGGAGAGCTCGCCCAGAAGGGCAAAGCTAGCAGAAACCAAAGTAAGCAGGCAGGCGGACGAACCACTCAAGCGGAGGAGGGGAGGACAGGGGACGTGGCGTCAAAGGGGAAGATCATCAGCAGGCCTGCCAAGAGGTGAAGAAAAGGAACGAAAAGGGGAGCCAAGCCAAAGGCCACGCGCGTTGCATCGACCCACCACCATCCATCGCTCCCGGCGCCCGATTTCTCTCTCTCTCTGTCTCTCTCTGGGAGACCATACCTCTCTGGCGAAATCTATTGGACGCCATCAGAGAAGAACCCAACGGCGTAGAGTCGCTAGCCCGCTCGCTTGCTCGCCTGGTCGCCCGCCTGGGGTCTACATGGTGTGGGCGACCCAGGCTGGCGAGTCGCGTTCGCCCCGACTCGCAGGGCTACTGCGGAGTTACTGCGTCGAGCCAGCCGGTGGTCCTGCGCGCAGGCGTTGCCAAGCATCGATGGACTGCGACCGGCGACGGGGAGGCGGTGATCATTGTTCGACTCGTGGGTCTGGTGACGTCTTGGCCTTTCGTGGGGCGCGGTCCGACCGGGGTGGGCAGAGAAGAAATAGAGTGAGCTAATCTGTTAGTTGGTACAGGAGATGGGATTTCGGGAAGCTAAGGAACCGCGGCTGGGAGGGAAGTGAAGCCGAGCGATGGATTGGGTGGACGGATGGTTGGATGGGCCCTGACCACTACGATCAGGAGGAAGAGGGGCTCACGATGGGATGCGAGGACCAGCAGCAGCAGCCGTGACGGCAGCATGAGGATTTGCATCCTTCGATCCCTTTCGACGTCAGCCGTCCATCCCCAGCCCTCAAGTCACCAACCACCAACCGCCAACCACCTCGCTGCCGACGCAGCCATCTGCAGACCGACCGAATGTCATTAGCTTCGTCCTGCAAGTGACATGCGGGCAGTTGGCTGGCAGGTCTTGTCACCGGGTGCTTCTTGTTTCTCAGTTGTCTGCGCTCAATCTCTCTGCCGTGTGGGTGCAGCAACCCAACCACACGCTGCCGCCGACCCCCCCTTGGAAGCTCGCGAGACGCCCGGTAAGGGAAGAAGCACATGCACGTCCGCCTCGCCAATACTGCCTCTGGTGTCAATGAGCGATCATCGTCGCACAGGCCAAGCACCCCTTCCTCTCCGAAGGGGGGGGGTGAAGCCGCCTGGTATCGACACCGCCGCCCAACCAGACAGGGCCATCGCTGCCACACCCGTCCGCCCGTTGCCGTGTCTGTCTCTCACCGTTGCCTCACTTACCAAATGACAAAATGCACAGCGAGGAGAACACACAGAGAGACACACACGCAAGGCAGGGCGGGAGAAGGGGGGGGGGGGCCGGCGTCGCTGCGCCCGCCCTGTCCATCCCCTCTCCCCCCTAAACCGCCTCCTGCACCCAGCCATCTGCCGCACCGAAGAAAGACTGCAAGAAAAAAAACAGGGCGGAAAAGGGCGCAAATGATGTGAGTGCTTAGCTCTCCTCACATCCTTGCCCGTCCTGCTGCAGCTGCTTTGATGGGCTGCATCCTGATCCCCTTCCCATCTTTCAAATACACTCCAGGGTAGGATCTTCTGCTGGTGGGATGCTTGGGACTCGCCCTGACTGATACTGCTCTTACAAGAAAAAAACCCTGCTTTCTCTGGAACTGGGAAGAAGGGCTGAATACTTACTTCAGCCGGCCGACTGGAGCCAGACAACCGGCCCTGTGCCCTGACTACAAACTGACCAACAAGGAACGCAGGCCACTTGGGGAAAGAAAAAAGGTGCTGCTGTGACCAACGCGAGGCTGCTGCTGTTCCGCTTGCGACTGCTACAACTGTGTATGACACCTGAAACTCCTGCTTCTGAATGTGGAGGCTAGGCTGAGGACAGATGCATATCGATGGAGTACTTGTTGTATCGGGACCAAGCTGATTGCATGTTTGTCTCCACAAGCTGGTCTGACGTTAACCGACTGGACGAAGTTGCGGCCTAGCACGGGTTCGGATTTTTCGTTGAAATCGTCAGCTCCCCAGTCG